TGCCAGTGGATCAGGATGTCTCCGGGCAAACCTACGGTTTTCGCCGTAACATAACCATACATATATATATATATAACTACATTATACACGCATATAAATACATACGATCGAACTGTTACAGAGCGGTGGGGTAGCACCCCCAAGAGAGGACACACAGCTTTTGACCTGTCCGCCGGGTCGGTCTTTGAGAACCCCGCAGGCCAGGTGTGCCACGGCGAGACCACTCCACCTTTGCATCCTGGCAAAAGGGGAGCTCCCATAATTAGAGGTACCCTCAATAGGGGTTTAGGGTTTAGGGTTGCTCCCAAAATTAGGGGTGCCCTCAAAGGGGGATATACGGGTTCTATAGGGGTATATAATACAAGGTTTAGGGTATAGGGTAGTTGCCAAAATTAGGGGTCCCTTTAACGGGGGATATACGGGTTATACAAGGGTATATAGGGTTTAGGGTAGTTCCCAAAAATAGGGGTACCTTTAAAGAGGGATACAAGGGTTACATAATTGAGGGTATATAGGGTTCAAGGTTTCCCAAAATTAGGGTGACTTTTGGGTACCCCTAAATATTGGGTGCCGTAGTATAATCTATAACCAAAAGGGGCCCATAATTTTGAGAACGACCCAAAAGCAGGCATTGCTTCAGGTAGCAATGCAGTGGGTGCGCTCTCCAGTTCTCCAGCTCTGCAACTACCTGTGCATCATGATACCGGACCATGTTCCAAGCTCTCTCTGCTCTCTTCTCTCTGCAAATTGTGGCTGGGATGGCACTCCACGGCCTCAGCCAGAAACAGTCTTCCGTGTTCAGCACCAGGCCATACAAACTATTTGTGGTTTACAGCATCTCGAATCCTCTCGTACACTTCAGTTGCACGGCATTGCAAACTGCCAACAAGCAGCGAGAGCCACATGCCGATGACCTCGGCCAGGAAAGCTGTCGTAGAATCAGCTGGTGACTTGCTACCAGGATTCCCTATGAGAGAAATTGACTTCGGGTATAAATATGAGCGGCTGGGAAGGGTGACTTCGTGATCTGGCATCATGCTCGGCATCTGTTGGCCGGTCTGGGATCATGGCCCTGTAGCCTCTCTCTTCGAGTCTCTCCTTCGCCTGCCAGAGAAGTCTAAGTCTTGACTGATTTCCGGTACCCACGCGAAGCACAGAGGCTTGAAGCTTCCTAAACCCTAAACCCTAAATAGTAGTTTCCATTTTCTTTTCCATTATCCCCATATAATCCCTATAACCCTAAACCCTAAACCCATATAATCCCTATATAACATCCACAGACTCGCAGGGCAAAGGACATTCCAAGCTCGGGCCTTGTCCATGAGGTCTATATGATGCTTCATGGCCGGCGCCATGGCATCGCTGAGGATAACCAACGCCAAAGTTCCCTGGCCGCAGGTTGGGGGGATTTTGACTGGGTTGCTCTTACGGAACTTAATTCAAATTACTGCATTGGGTTAACTATATACCCATTATGGTAACTGAATTTAAGTTCCTTAGCAGCAACCCAGTTGAGGGCGAGCGGCTGCAGGCCTTGCTTCTGTGTAAGAATCATCCACTGCGACCCTTTCCCGCACAGAGGCCATGAGCGGAGAATCTCTTTTCAGAAGATTCCCATCTGGCTTATGGATTATATTCCGGCACCCAATATCTAGGGATACCAAAAAATCGACCCATCGGCCATAGCAAAATAATTGTTATCAATGGTAATCGTAGTAACCTGGTCAGGGGCTACCTCTCACGATTGTGTGGGCCGCTGACTATGGCCAAATTCCCTCTACACCTTGGAGGAGCGGAGCCGGACTGGTAGAGACCCTAAACCCTAAACCGCATCATTTTGGCCTTGCTGCGCAAGAACGGTGAGATAGCAGTCAGAAGCCCCACCCAAAGAACTGTCCCAACCCATCTTAACCCATCTTAACCCACTTCTTTGTCAACATGTCTGAGTATCACAGACGGGCGGGCCTCGTGGTCGTAGGCCTTCAGCTTCTGCATCAGCTTTCCGGCAGGCCAAGGACTATCTGGAACCTTGATAGGGTTTAGGGAGGTTTTCTTTGCCAAGTAGCTGACATGTAGAAAAGTCTGGCAAACACCAAACCCCTGTGACCACTCCAATCTGCAACTTGCAAGGCTGAAGGACCTGCAACAGGAGTTTGGCAAGGTCCTGCTGAAAGGATGCCCGCTCCTGGTCAGGGGGTTTAGGGTTTAGGGAGGGATGCAGATACCGCGAAAAAGATGCGTCTCACCAGAAAGCTACAGAAAGCGCCTGTTTTCCCCCGCTGTGTACCCCGAAGCTAGCGGCAATAGGATGCAGGGATCCCCTTAATCGTATATTGGGGTCATATGTGGAAATGGGAAAATAAAATGGAAACTACAATAATATAGTAGGTATATTGGGGTTATATTGGGATAATGGAAAATGAAATGGAACCAATTATTTGACGTTTAGGGCAGCTCCCTTTTTCCCAAGTGCAAATGGGCAATCTTCTCCTCAGAGGTCGGGTTCAGAATCATGCGGCTAACGCCCACGGGCAAGGCCTGTTCCAGCAGGGGTCTAAGTATCAGATCTATGAATCCGGGATTCCCCAAATGTGGGGGGTACCTTTAAAGGGGATAATAGGATTTTATAGGGGTTATATAGGGAGTATATAGGGGTTATATAGGGTTTAGAGTTTTGGAAGATGCAACAGGCTCAAAGCACATTGGCTACAGCGGCTTCGACCTCACACACGTCTTCACATCTTATCCCAGAATCCCATCCTCTTGCATGTTCTAAACACAAAGCCCCTTTGCTGACATGCGGCTCGATGACAAAAAAAAACTCTTGCTAGAGATACCAAGGTTTAGGGTTTAGATACTTGGAGACTTTCATGGACAGTTGCAGGACATTATTCCAGCAGGTCGAATGCAAGCTCTGACTCAGCTACGGAGTGCTCAGCGTCTTTCTGCGGACTTCCCCGGGAAACAGCGCCTCTGCCACAAAGGCGACGTCACCGCCTGCAGCAGCACCCGGAAGACTTGGAGCATACTCAGTCATGACTGAAAAATTACCTGACCTTTATGATCAAACTCAATACGTGGCTCCAAGGCAATCCAGCTGCCTCCTAAGGTAATTGGGATCGCGATCTATCAAAAGCTACCTATCTCCTGCAGAAAGAGCCATATCAATACCCACTCGCCAGAACCTGGGAATTGCGAGCCGAGCTGCCAGGCGGGCATGCGACAGCTACAAACACCTTGAAACCCCTGGTGACGTTTGATGGGTTACACTGTTGATAGAATGATTCTATGCATGTGACTGAGGAGGCACAAGGAAAGTGTATCTCTTTTGCTTGAAGGCCGTGCAGCGGTCTACTAGATGCTCACAGCGCCCAGCCGCGACTGCACACAAATCTTCTCCCTACTCTGCCGCTGACTTCCCAGTCCCACCATCCAAAGCCCTTGGCCCTCCGCCTGCAACGGCCTCCATCAGCTGCTCCGAAGTTAGCTTCCCCCCCTGCATGCAGGAGTGGGGGACATTAGGAAGGAGTGAAACTGCCTGGATGCTTACGAAGATGTGTATAAACTCCCGCAGTGTGGGAGAAAGCACTGAAGGCTATACCTTGGGCACTGCCCCAACCCTCCTGTAACAGTCTATATTAATAAGGGGTCACAGTAAGGGCTATATACAGTACATTAAGAAAATTATCCAACTATGCGGTTTAGGGTTTAGGATTTTTTCTGAGTGGGGGGCTGTACCCAAGCTATACCAACACGTACCGGGCCTTGCCGGACGGGGCTTCAGCAACGTAAACTTGTTGGAGCGGCTTCTCCAGGAGAAACTCCTGCAGCTGAGGTTGCTAATGTCTGGTGCGCAAGCCTTGTCACAAAAGCCCAAACCTTAGAATGAACTTCAGTCTCCCAGTTTCCATGTCATTTTCCATGTGCTTCTCCCTTAATGAACCCTAAACCCTAAACCCTTATTGGATGGCGTGGGGTGGGCGAGTTGCGAGATGGGCCCTCCACAGTCGGGCCACGGCTGCGATTCGCAAGGCAATCCATGTATCACTGCCGCTACGCAACATTAAAATACTACTCAAATAATCCCCATAATCACCCTTATAATCCCAGTTTCCATTTCATTTTCCATTTTCTTTTCCATTTGATTCTCCACTATCGTGGATAAATTGCAGCAAACCCTGAACCCTACACCCTAAACCCTAAACCCTAACCCTTAACCCTAAACCCTAAACCCCAAAGATGCCCTGCTGGCTATGGGCTTTTCATCCCATCCTCCTCGCCCGGCTGTGGCACGACCACAAGTCCCAGCATATCCTGAATGTCAGGGTTCAGGGTGTAGGGTGTAGGGTTCAGGATCTAGGGGCTAGGGTTTAAGGTTTAGGGTTTAGGCTTCAGGATTTAAGGTTTAGGGCCTAAGGTTGCCAAAATCTGGTGCAAGCATATGAGCTACAGTCAATATTTAATGCATAATTTCATGGACATGGACTCCCTATTAAGGAATATAAGAATCTACAATACAACCCCCCTATGTCCACCGTATATTGACAATAGCTCACATAATCCCTAAAAAACCCTACATAATCCCAGTTCCCATCTCATGTTCCATGATCTTTTCCATTTGATTCTCCATTGTTGGAGCATGCCCCTGCTAGTAACAGAGCTCAAGACTGCAAGCTGCGCGACATGCTGATGCAAGTGCAAGATCTGCAGGGCCCACCGGAAGCATCAGCAGTTCTGACTATATTGGGGCTATTTAGATGTGTATGTATATATATATACACATGTAGAGGATTGCATATATGTATATACAAGGATTATATATATATACACATAAAGAGGATATATATATATATAGGGACTATACAGGGATTATATACGGGAATGGAAAACACAATGGAAATAGTATTTAGGGTTTAGCACTTCCCAGCCATGCCTGGGGTTTCAGGTTGCTGTACTTCTTCTGATCATCCGCTCCGCAGACAGCCACTACCTGAACAGGCACATTTTTTAGGGTTTTGGGATTAGGGTTCAGGGTTTAGGGTTTAGGGTTTGGACCCAAGTTTAGGGTTTAGGGTTGAGGGTTTAGGCTTAGGGTTTATGGATGTTTAGGGTTTAGGGCTTATGGATTTATTCGAGACCCTGATCGAAGGCATGAAGCCAAATTCGCAGACCTGTGCAAACTCATTGCATGCACACCACCAGCCCATCAGCCTGGTCCTTCTGACCTACAGTACCTATAAAGGGGTTTAGGGTTACAGCATTGTCCTTTTGACCTACAGTACCTACAAAGCGGCTGAGTGTTTAGGATTAAGGATTACAGCACGATCCTTCTGACCTAGAGTACCTATAAAGCACTATATAAACCAAGTCCTCGATGCCATTTTCATGTTCTCTTCCATTTGATTCTCCACTATTGGGATATACATCCCTTAAAATGCCTACCCTAAACCCTATATTCTCTCATATAAGCCCCCTGGATACTAAAAATCCTGCATGACCCTAAGTACATTAGATCCTGGGAATCATGGCGCTTCAGCCTACGAAGGTCATGCAGGATTTCTAGTATCAACAGTAGTGCATGGCTTATTGGGGCTATAAATCCCGAATACCCCTACCCTGAATCCTATATTATACTCATACATATATATATATGTATATGAACCATACAGACCCTCTATAGTAAGCTGCTCATTCCTACCCTAAATCCTATAAACCCCCTAAATCCCTACCCTAAACCCCAAACCCTAATAGAAACCTATAGTAACCTGCATAATCCCATATAAACCCCCTCTAACCCTAAAGTGACCTACATAATCCCATATGGGTGGTTGTCAAAATTATGGTCCCTTTTTGGGTCCCTATTATAATACGGCACCTAATATTTAGGGTACCAAAAAAGGGACCATAATTTTGACAAACCACCCATATAAACCCCCTATAGTAAACTGCTGCACGCCAGGTGACCCTGACACGCGGCGCAGACTTCGAGCTCAGGCCGGTCTCCTGTGATTTGGAAGTTTCTCACAAGTGGGGGTTTCCCAAAATTCGGGGTGCCTTTAAATGGGATCCCTAAACCCTGAACCCTAAACTCTACAAGCCCGAGCAAACCGTCTATAAGAAGGGGTCATATTAAGGGCTCCATATAACTACATGAGCTATAGTCTAAACTCCTAGCATCCCCCGTAATAAACTCCCCCCATATAATTCCCTATATAGACCCCTTTACACAGTTTAGACTATAGTAGCTCATATTGTAAATGTTATTCAACATTTATCTCTGAAGGCTCCCAATAGAACACTACAGAACTTTTATCAAGCCTCTAAAGCCCCTCCAGAAAACCCTAAACCCTAAACCCTAAAACCCTAAAACCTTCTGTAAAGGCTATGAAGCCAGTCGAACCCTTCTATAAAACCACCACGGGACCACAGCGGTGGGGATGAGAAAATCATGGACCATTGAAGGAGGGGGGTCCTTTGTATGACGGCGCATATGTACGGGCTGTAAAAACAGTATTGGATTTCGCTCAGAGTGAAGCTGGAATCTGAATCTGAATAAGTCTGAGTGCAGCTCCTCAATGAGAGCCTTCCGAAGGCTGCTGACAGCCTCTTCGATGTGAACGGGCCGAAATGCTAAGGCCCCAATATGCTCCACATAACCAACGTATGTCCAGTCAGCTGGTGGCGAACAATCTTTCTTGACAAGGGTTGGGCTGACATCGCGACTTAAGTTCATCCAGCTCGTCAGCGAGTTGCAGCTGTTCACTCGGGGCTTAGCGAGCGTTAGTGGCGGGGCAGCCATCACTAGTCATAGACTGTCTCAAGACAATAGTCTACACACTCATGCGTTTTGCTGCGTGACTGTCGACCATCAGCCAGGTTGCCCCTCCTGCTGTGGTTTGCAAGCTGACCTTTTGCTATCACATGATAGGTGAGATGCTGTGAAAATTGGACATTTGAGCTATAGTCTAAACTCCTAGTATCCCCCTTAATACCCCCTAGAGTAGTCCTCCATATACTCCCCTATATTACCCCCTTTAAGGAGTTTAGACTATAGCTCGTTTGAGTTTTATTTTTTTGGTGGTTGAACCTAGTAAGAAAATATTCTTTATATATATATATTACTATACCCCAAAAGGAGGATATAATCTTACTTTATATTGGGTACCATAGTATCCCCAAATAAAATACTCCTCACTTGGAAAGAAACACCATGATTTCCTTCCAGCCTCGAGCTCCTTCGCCGCCTCTTGTCGAAGGGCCCACGGTGATGCCTCAGAATCCGCACCGCATCGCACCGCAGGCCCTATAGTAATATGCTATAACATACTGTAATATACTACAATGTACTGAGACTAGAACATACTATACTACGATATAATAGATTGTGCTATAGTATACTATCATATAGTATAATATAACACAATGTAGTATATCGACGCATCCTGATCGCGCCTCTAGGAGCTTGTCCGACTGCACAGCAGCCCGGACCGCGGCCAAGCGGAAGGCCGGTGACCTGAACTGCTCTGGGTTCACGGTTTAGGGTTTAGCTTTAGGGTTTTAGGGTTTAGGGTTTTAGGCTTTAGGGTTTCAGGCTTTAGGGTTTTAGGGTTTAGGGTTCAAGGTTTTTGGGTTGAATGAGGGTTTAGGGTTTATGCTCAACGGATCCAGCTCGGTTTACGTTGGATAACTCTAGAGTTTCCCAAACTTATTAAGGGTTCTTCTTTGGGGGTCCCCATAATAAGGAATGTTTGGGGGTCTTTATTTGGGTTCCCCTATTTACGGACACTACCACCGTGCTCTTTGACAGTGAAGTCTTTCCAGGTAGCTGGCAGCTCTGCTCCATGCATAGGCACCAGCCAACCTTCTGTTTAAGGTTTAGGTTTAGGGCTTAGGATTTAGGGTTTAGGGCTTAGGATTTAGGGTTAGGGCTTGGGATTTAGGGTTTAGGGCTTGGGATTTAAGGTTTAGGGCTTAGGATTTAGGGTTTAAGGCTTGGGATTTAGGGTTTAGGGCTTGGGATTTAGGGTTTAGGGTATCAGGGGGCGCTGTTGCTCTCGAAGCTAGAGTGGCCACCGCTACTGTTGATGGACAAAATCTGCTTGACCCTCTATACCAGATCCCGAAAAATTATGGTATGACACTATGCTATAATGTACCACATATATGTATATACTATACAGTACTTAGGGTCATGCAGGATTTAGTCTATCAATAGTGTGAAAGTGTGGCGTACCCTTCCCACCTTACAGCAATAGGCACCGCAATGGGTAACAGCAGTGAAGGCACAATAGCCGCTTAATGGAGCCCCTTTAAGGACACTTACTCGCAGGGAGTATAACACAAAGTACTGCAGGATCCCCAGTTGCGGAGCGTTGTTTTTGGCGCCATAGTTTAGACATACTATACCCCAAAGAAGGATAGAATCTTACTCTATGTTGG